AGGGACATATTAGTAGTAACGGTAAACGCCGTCCTCCTCCTTCCCCTCATCGTCGCAGTTGTAGCAGTAGCGGTAGTAGTAGTAATAGAATTGCTTAACACCTACATCTGCATCTACATCTACATCTAGACCTACATCCACATCTACACCTACAGCTACATGTACACATGCATCTACATATACAACTACACTCACATCTACACCTACATCTACACCTACGTGTACATCTACATCTACACACCTACATCCACATCTACATCTACACCTACATCTAAAGCTACATCTACACTTTCGCATTGCTTTTGTTTTTGCTTTGCATTGCCTTTGCTATTGCTTTTGCCTTTGCTTTTGCATTTGCCGTTGCTGTTGCTGTTGCTTTTGCTATGCCATGCTGCGCTATGCTATGCTATGTTATGTTATGCTATGCTCTGTTGCGTTATGTTATGCTATGCTATGCTAGGGTATGCTAGGCTGCGCTACGTTATGCTAGGTTATGCTATGCTATTCTGCGCTAGGATGTGCTTTGCTATGCAATGCTATGTTGCGCTATGGTCTGCTATGGTATGCTGCGCTATGCTACGCTATGCTATGCTATGCTGCGCTATGCTATGCTAAGCTATGCTATGCTGCACTATGCTATGCTATGCTATGCTAGGCTATGCTAGGCTATGCTATGCTGCGCGATGTTATGTTATGCTATGCTATGCTGTGCTATGATATACTGCGCTATGCTATGCTATGGTATTCTGTAACATGCTATGATATGATATGTTGCGCTATGCTATGCTGTGCTGTGCTATGCTATGCTATGTTATGCTGCGCTATGCTATGCTATGATATGTTATGCTACGTTATGCTATGCTGCGCTATGGTATGCTGCGCTATGATATGCTATGCTATGCTATGCTATGCTATGCTATGTTCATGCTGCGCTGCGCTAAGCTGAGCTAATCTAAGCTAAGCTAGTCTGGGCTAGGTTAGGCTAAGCTAAGCTAAGCTAAGCTAGGCTAGTCTAAGCTAAGCGAATGCAGGCTGAGCTAGGCGAGGTTAAGCTAAGCTAAGCTAGGCTAAGTTAAGCTAGGATGAGCTAAGATGAGATAAGCAACGCTAAGCTAAAGGGACGTAACTGGGGGAACCGCGGGGCGGATCCCGGGGGAACCGCCCGGGGCGGGGAACACTGCCCGGCCCCTTTAAGACAGAGAGTAAGAACCCTCTAGGCAGAGCCTAGGTAGGGAATGAAAAATACCAGGGCGCCCCCCTTCCCCCCGTCCATCTTCGATCGACGTCATCATTCCTCCCACCTCCCCCCCTCTCCCCCTATGTTCCCCCTCTCACATGTCTGAATTTGCCGTGGGGTGTGGGGGGTAGGGGGGGGGGGGCATGGGCTCGCATGTGCTCGCATTGGGCTCGCATGGGGCGCGGGTGCCTCATTACCCGCGTTGTCTGGACGCGCGCATTGCATCTTACGTTGGACCTGTCCATGCTCGGATTGTACTTGCAGGCGCATTGTACCTAAGCTCTTGCATCGCTTATACGGGAAAAACCTCATATGTGGTTCGCACAATGTGCATACATGTATGTATGGGAAGGCTGGCGGGGCAGGGCGGTGCATGTGTGTGTGCGCGCGTGCGTGTGTGAGAGAGAGAGTGTGTGTGTGTGTGTGTTTGAGTGTGTGTGTGTGTGTGGGTGTCTGTCTGTGTGTGTGCGTGTGTGCGTGCGTGGTGGTGGTGGTGGTGGTGGGGGGTGGGCGTCAATTTAGAGTTCAGAGTTTGCTCTTCTGGGAAAAGGGTGGCCTGGCGCAGCTCTTGAGAAGTGTCTTTTGAAACTGCAATGCGCTCCCTGCAATTGCGTAAGCTGTGCAATCCTAAAACACAACAGCGCGCGCGAAGGGGCCAATTGAGGAGTTCCAGAGGCAAGCATGGGGAAAGGAGGGGGGGGATAAGGATGGGGACATGGTAGGGTTCGGGGGGGGGAGGGGGGCGGGGTCAATGGGGCGGAAAAGGGTGGATGGGGGAGTCTGCATTAAGCGCGTTTCGGCCGTGTTTTGGACAAGTAAACGCGCACGTTATATATATATATATATATATATATATACATATACATATACATATACATATACATATAAATAATATTGGTGCGCGGCGGTGCGTGTGCGTGTGTGCGTGTGTGCGCGTGTGCGCGTGTGTGTGTTGTGTGTTGTGTGTTGTGTGTGTGATTGTGTGTGTGAGTGCGCGTGTGCGTGTGTGTGTGTGTGTGTGTGCGTGCGCGGGCGGGGGGGGGAGATGGTCTGAACCAATATGAGGGGGGGGGTATTTTTTGTGGGTTGGGTGACATTGGAGATGGTGAGTGGATTTTTTGGGGTTTTTTTTATTTTTTTTTGAAGATTGAGATTTTGGGGAGGTTTTGGAAATTTTGGCGAAAAGGGTTGGAGAAATATTTTTGGGTTATTTTATTTTGGGGATAAAGGGTTTAGTTAAGGGGGTTATTTGTTGTTTGGGGGAAGGGGTGGGTGGAGGAAGTATATGATGGAAGGGTGATTGAACGAGAGGTTTTTTTATTTAATAAGGAAGAATGACCGGCGTCGAAGGGTGTAATACCATTATGGCGCACCGGGCGGATTATTGCAGTGTGAGCTCGGTGCGGTCGTGGGCGCAACCTATGACACAACCTGCGAGGCGACGAGAACTCTTTAATACTGACCCGTTCTTGAGGATCGAATGCCCTGAGGGGATGAAGGCCCCAATGAATATCCAGAGGGCCCGAGCGTGACGACTCGAGCCGCCCCGTCCTCCATTCCGTAGCCAATTTGGCCTTGCATGTTTGTTATTTTGGGCACGGTCTTGATACCCAATCATCCCAATATGGACGCTGCTGCAGCTTTGGAAGCGACGTTCCCTTTCCGAAAGCTCATCCTCACAGACCTAGAGGAGCAACCAGCCCCACACTCGTCAGACGACGATGACACAAAACGGCTCCACCTTGACAAGTGCAAAATCACAAAAACGCTGTGCGACCTCGGGGCCCTAGGCCCGTTCTTCAATGTATCAGGGTTCAAAGGCGATCAGCTCAAGTCGATCGACCAGCTAGGCCACCCGCTTGCATTAGCATTCTGGGGATCCCCACACTGGGGAACTGTGGAAGATGGCTGCAGCAATAATTTTCGGAACAGTGCGGAGTTCAAGACAAACGCATTTGAATCGCTATCATGGCTGTGCCCACAAGGATTCATCGTGATGACTTTCAGTGAGAAGTGCAAAACAGAATTTTGGGGGCCAACTTTCAACCGTACTAAAGATGTGGATCATCGTTGCAGCCGGGAGCTCAGGGTCGTAGAAGGATTTTTCAGACAATATTCACCAGAGGCATCGGGCTCAAAGTTCTGCCAAATTAGTGCACACGAAGACCATGGTGGAAATGTTGGTTCCGTACCGCTTTCGGGACGCTGTTACATATCGTGGTGAGAAGTGCGACATTGGAGTTACCATGTACAAGGTATTGCAACAAATATCTGATGGGCCAGAGTACGCAGTAGAGGTTGGTGGGCAATCCTTCAAGCTGGGATATGAATTGTTTCTGGCAAGGCAAGAGCTGGACACATCAAGGTCAGAATGGCCCCCGTCGCATGACGACTGAATATATGGAAGTATGTTGGTGCTTTGATGCCGTGTCTACTGGTTGCACTATGAAGTATGTTGGTGGTATCTATTGGCTGCAGTCCAAGTGGTTGGACGACCGTTCTGATGTGCAGCTGCAACTTGGTGTACCAAATGCCGAAGGCCCGGGAGGAATTGCACATAATGTTGCGAATGCCTCATATTCACGTTCAGCAGGAAATCGGCAGACTCGCCCTCGCTTCGCTCTGAGAGGCAGTGCAAAAAAATGAACTCATCGTAGCAACCACCGCTGCCCAAAGGGAGAGCCCCTGAAGCCAGTAATAAGGATGGCCCATGCTTCGAAGAGGAGGAGGAGGAGGCGGAGGAAGAGGAGGAGGAGGAGGAGGAGGAGGGGGGAGGAGGAGGAGGAGAGGAGGAGGAGGAGGAAGAGACGGAGGAAGAGGCCCGTCTAGGCCCTTTTCAAGTCGGCCTCCAGGGGCTCCAGGGGAACAGTATAAGCTTATCTACACTAGTTTGAACAACGAGGTATGTGTACACATATGCGTGCCATTAATGCGCAAATCCCAACGACTAAGCACTGCGTAGGTTTAGCTACTAGCATCCAGCCCAATTCTATTGGAGCCCTCCCCCCAGCCTTCCTGGTAAGTGAAAATCAGCAGTAAGGACGGAAGCTAAAGATGCAGGACCTTTGAATGCGCCGGCCGCAAAGGCACCTTGGGTCGAGGAAACATCAAACTAGCCGAACGATGCAAGGGTACCCCCATCCTTATGTCCTCCTTTCTATCAACATGTACAGGTCTCGAACGGGGTCGTTTGTCTTCGTTAAGGTCTGGATCGGAAACTTCACCCGTAAGGCGAGCCCCGAACTGCAAATCCGTTCAAGCCCCGAAGTCTGTGAGTTGTGAGATCGTGCTTCTTTGAATCAATGTTCTAAGTGGGTGTTCACATCCGTAGCCGTTTTGGCTCAAGACCGAGATGGTCATTTTCAGTAAAGCAACGGCCTGCAACGACTGTATCGCCAACACCTCGCGCACACGTTCCACGAGATGTCACAAATGTTGGTTCTTACGTAATCGGCTGAAGCTGAAAAAGAAATTCTTGATCAAGCCAGGCGTTGTGGATGTAACGTGGATTCACTTCGAGTCAGACCCTTTTTCTGTGACTTGCAGCGTGTGCTCATCATGTAGCAATCGTGCTGGAGCCCTGTGGGGCAGCAGTGACACGAGTTTGACGATGCAGAAGATGAACAAACATCAAGAGAGTGACACCCATCAACAAGCTGTGCGAGCACTACTACACGACGTGCCAGACTACAGCGACCTAGCGCCCAGCGACAGTGACTTCAAGACCGTGCTTGACCGCGTCAGGAGAGCCCCTCCAGGCAAGGAAGGCGTCGAGGGCGTTGCTAAGGCGAAGAAGGTTCGCAAGATGATCTGGTGCCTGGCGGAGGCTCACCGCGCGATGAAGCGCAGACTGTGGCTCACCGACGGCATTGTTTCAACGGCGATCTTCCAAGATGCGCGCAAGGGCAAGCTGACCATAAGGTTCACTGCAGCAAACTCAAACTTACACAGACGATCTGGACACATGGGTACCGTGGATTTGGCTGGCGAGTTTCGATTAGATGCGGCTGGGATTCAGGAAGCTACGTTGGCTGTCGTTGAACGCTTTGCCACGCCAAAGAGAAGGCCGCCATATGCACCAACACGTGAAGCAGCTGAGGTGGACGTGGATCTCTACCACAAGGTTATGGCGTCAATCGAGGCGTATACGAGCGATGCAGCTGCTGACGAAATACGAGCAGGATTCATGCTCGCTGGACAAACGGTTAGAGCAGATGCGGCCAAGGTCATGCCGAACCTCAGGATCGTCACGCGTGACAAACCACACGCGACAAGGCGGCTGGCCTCGCGAGGCTGGAAAGCGGACCCTTTTCTCGACGACGTCCAGGGCATGTTCGTATGGAACGAGCAGTCTCCAGTCCGGCTGATTCAGTTTTCGGAAGTATTCAGCGCTTGGTCCCAGGCTAATGTGCAAAAGATCGAGCCGCACCTCAAGGCCGCCAACCCCCACCAGGGCTGCAAGGACTTGCATTTCGCCCCGCACCGCTTCGACAGCGCCAGCAAGCCGATGAGCCGGTGCACCATCTACTTCCCTGCGTTGGTGGCGACAATGGACCAGATAGTTGCCAGCAGAAAAGGGAATGCAGAGGCGGTGGCGGCATCGACCTTCCTAGGTTGGCTGGACGACGAGAAGGCGCTCCAACTGGCGATGCTCGCCGATGCAGGCGACGAGCTATCAGACCTGTTGCGTCTACTCGACTACGAAGGTTTCCCACTCGAAGATCTTTCGTTCAATCTCAGTGCTTTCCTTGAGCGCCTGAACTATTTGTTCGTCGGCTGGGGTGGGCAGGCGCCTGCGTGTCTGGACGGGGGCTACACCAAGCACATGATCGACTTGCTGAGGAACCCGCTTTCGATCCCAGTGGCGGGCAGGTGATTGTTTCTTCAACGTTTTTCCCTTGCGTCGTTGCGTGCGTTCTTAAGTTTGGAGGCATTTTTGAACTTCTGGGGCCTCTTGGGGCTCTTTTGGGCCTTCTGGGGGCCTCCTGGGGCCTCTTGGAGGCCTCTTGGCGGCATCTTTGATCAGACGAGATAGCGGCCCGGGCAGGGCTGCAAGTTTCAGACGGAAATGTCGATCAGCAAATTTGGGGGGAAGACGTCGCACCCTGGGCACGCGCGGCTGGAAAGCTTAATGAGATGCACCCGCCTCCTCCTCCTCCTCCTCCTCCTCATCTTCCTGTTCCTCCTCCTCCGCCTTCTCCTCCTCCCTCCTCCCGCTTGTGCAATTCACCCCCGCCTCCTTTCACAGCATCGCCTCTCGTCGCTCCCTCCCCTGTTCCCCTGCTGAGTGCCCTTCCCTCACCCTGCCCCTTCTCCTCCTCGCCCATCCCTCCCCTTCCGTTCGTCGACCTGCTCATCTGACTCATCCCTCGCTATCCCTTCCCATCTCGCCTCCGCTACTTCTCGTTTTGCCCCCCCCCCCCCAGACATGTCCTCCCGCCCCCTCCTTTCGGGGAGGGGGGGCGGGAGGTGGAACAGTGGGGCTTAGGAACTGTGCGTAAATTCCCTACCTAGGCTCGGCGTAGAAGGGTTCTTACTCTGTTTGCTTAAAGGGCCAGGCAGTGGAAAGCGCCCCGGGCGGTTCCCCCGGTCCCTTGGGAGCGGTTCCCCCAGTCCCCTGGGAACTTTAACTTTAGCTTTAGTTTTAGCTTTAGCTTAGCTTTAGCTTAACTTTAGCTTAGCTTCAGCTTAGCTTCAGCTTAGCTTTAGCTTAGCTTAGCTTCAGCGTAGCTTCAGATTAGCGTTAGCTTAGTTTTAGCTTAGCTTTAGCTCAGCTGTAGCTTAGCTTTAGCTTAGCTGTAGCCTAGCTGTAGCTTAGCTTTAGCTTAGCTTTAGCTTAGCTTTAAATTAGTTGTAGCTTAGCTTTAGCCTAGCTGTAGCTAAGCTTTAGCCAAGCTTTAGCTTAGCTTTAGCTTAGCTTTAGCTTTAGCTTATAGTTAGCTTATAGTTAGCTTAGCTGTAGCTTAGCTGTAGCTTAGCTGTAGCTTAGCTTTAGCTTACATGTAGCTTAGCTTTAGCTTAGCTTTAGCTTTGGTTTAGCTTAGCTTTAGCTTATACTTAGCTTGGCTTCGCTTAGCTTTAGCTCAGCTTTAGCTTAGCTTTAGTTTAGCTTTAGCTGAGCTTTAGCTGAGCTTTAGCTTAGCTTTACTGTTACTACTAATGCTGCTTTCATGGGGGCCTCCAACTCCTAGGTAGGGTCGCACTGTGATACTTTGTTTCTCACCCTGAAGGTCGAAGGTTGGATCGTGCAGCGGGGTGTCCTTGGCCGCTCAGGCCAGGTGCCTCGCGAGGATGGGGAATTGGGTCGTGGTGGCAACGGAAACGCTGAGAGCGGAGTTCCCGTGGTTTGAGGTGGTTCAAGCATGGAGCGTCTTCAACGTCGTCGAGCGGGACCGAGACGCTGGCCATCATTCATTACGCGCGCGACGCGCGCAACGGCTTGAACAACTACAGCGGTTGGTAACGGCATTCGGACTTCAAGCAGATCCCGAACATCTTGATGACCAACTGCAAGGCTTACGCCACGTTGCCCTCCGGGTGGCTGCAGAAGAGCATCTCGAATCTCGGGACGCATGGGTTCGCGCCGTGACCATCGCGAGACGGACCCGGATGGCAGGGTCCATGGGGTGTGGCAAGGACTTGCTGAGTTTGCTGGTCCGCTTCTGGGCATCTGGCGCCTCCACGAGCGGAGTTGAGCAGTCTTTTGCACAGATCGTGGGGTGCTCCGGCCCAAAACTCTGCATGGGCATGGGGGCCCTCGAGGACAGGATGGACATCTTGGACCTGGAGCTGATAGACGAGGACTCCGTCATCAACCTCGCCATGCAGCTCTGGCGTGAACACTACGGCTGCTCGCGCACGTCAGGGGCGCGACCGAAGAGGAGCGATACGGGTGGGACTCGACAGAAGAATCAGGGCGATCTGCCCACGGAGTTTGCCTTCTCGAAAGAGCGCAGAGCAGCGGTGACAGAAGCTTTATCCAGCCTCCCGACGCAGGACGTTGGAGCCATCACCGACACAGCGGGCGCCAGATGCATGGCGACATGGACCGACTCCCATGACAAGGAGATCAAGTTCGCGAATGAGAAGAGGATCAAGCGGATTGCAGAGGAGACGTGGGCTGGACGGGACCAGGCCTTAAGTAGTGCAACTGATGATGATCTTGCTGTGGTAGTAGCTACGCTGGAAAGGAAGGTGAAGACAGACAAGGCCTACGTAGCGCAATGCGCCAAACGGAGGCGCCTTCAGCAAGGCCCCACGCCGAGGTCCGTGGATGACAGCGCAGTGTACGTGGAGGCTGGTCTTCGGACGATTGACCTCGATAACTTCACAGGTGTATGTGCTAGCAAGCAGTTACAGCACGTAGTTTATGCCAAAGACGCATCTCTCTTTGTGGTAAAAGACATTGCCAATATATCTGCGACAGTGAAGTGGAACGCTGCATTGTGCGGTGGGACCATTTGTGAGTGGCCCTTCGTCCAGAAGGGGATCGGGCCATCGCTGGCCCTCCATGCGGGGCTCGCGTCGAGGCGCCTACTTTTTATGACAGGTGTGTTCGTGGCTGCACAGCCACGCCTTGCAGAAACTATCCTCGTTCGTATGGGAACGTTCCCCAATGCGAAGTGGAGGATCACAGAGAATCAAGCCTGGTTCACAACACGATCCAGAGCTGAACCTTCAATCGCCGTCGCCCTGATTGCAACTGGAGAGAACGCAGACACCGTGATGCCAGACGTCCGTCAAGCGTTCACCTCAGCCGAAGCGCTGGACTTCTTCTATCGTGTAGACGACCTGTCTTCAACAATCGGGGCTTGCAGCCGTTGACACGGGAGGCATGCATGTACATGCCGTGGGGTTGCTCTTCAACGAGCAAGGGTTGGCGCTGGAAAAAAAATATCCCAGTGTGACCCTACCTAGGAGTTGGAGCCCCTAGGAACGCAGCATTAGTAGTAACAGTAAAGTTAAGCTAAAGCTAAGCTAAAGCTAAGCTAAAGCTAAGCGAAAGCTAAGCGAAAGCTAAGCTAAAGCTAAGCTAAAGCTGAGCTAAAGCTGAGCTACAGCTGAGCTACAGCTAAGCTAAAGCTAAGCTAAAGCTAAAGCTAAAGTTACACATGAGCTGAGGCTAAGCTAAAGCTAAGCTGAAGCTAAACTAACGCTGAGCTAACGCTAAGCTGAAGCTAAGCTAAAGCTAAGCTAATAAAGCTAAGCTGAAGCTATGCCAACACTAAACTAAACCTAAGCTAAAGCTAGCTAAAGCGAATCTGAAGCTAAGCTAAAGCTAAGCTAAAGCTAAGCTGAAGCTAAGCTAAATCTAAGCTAAAACTAAGCTAAAGCTAAACTAAAGCTAAACGAAAGCTAAAACTAAAGCTAAAGCTAAAGCTAAAGCTCCCAAGGGACTGGGGGAACCGCGGGGCGGGGGCTGGGGGAACCGCCCGGGGCGCGTTCCACTGCCCGGCCCCTTTAAGCTAAGAGAGTAAGAACCCTTCTAGGCAGAGCCTAGGTAGGGAAAAAGTCCATGTCATACACCTCCTCCTCCTCCTCCTCCTCCTCCTCCTCCTCCTCCTCCCCCTCCTCCTCCTCCTCCTCCTCCTCCTCCTCCTCCTCCTCCTCCTCCTGCTTCTCCCCCTCCTCCTCCTCCTTCGTCTCCGCCTCCGCTTCCTGCCCCTTCACCGCCCTCTGCCTCGCTCCTCCACCGCCCCCCCCCCCACCCGCCTCCCACTCTCACGTTATCATCATCATTATCCTCCTCCTTGTCGTCGTCATCGTCAACATCATGATCATCATGATCATCATCATGATCATCCTGATCATCATCATCAGCATCATCATCATCATCATCAGCAAGCATCAGCATCATCATCATCGTCGTCGCAACCCTCCGACCCCCCCCTCCCCTCCTCCCCCTCGGCGGCTGCTCGGTCGGCCGGCGCCGCCCGGCGGGCCCGCCCCGCCCCCGCCTTATTACGACATCGACTTCACTCCGCAGACCGCGTCGCGGCGTGGGGGGGGGGGAGGACGAGGACGAGGACGAGGATGAGGATGAGGATGAGGACGATGACGATGAGGAGGGGGAGGAGGAGGAGGAGGAGGATGAGGAATAGGAGGAGGATGAGAAGGAAGAGGAAGAGGAGGAGGACAGGAGGAGGAGGAGAAGGAGGAGGAGGAGAAGGAAGTGGATGATGACTTGGAGGAGTAGGATCACGCCCAGGCCCGACGGGCGGTGATCACGGTGCTGGTAGGGTCACCTGCGGAATCGCCCGAGTCTACGAGAGAAGGGTGATGATGATGATGATGAGGAGGAGGAAGAGGAGGAGGAGGAGGAGCAGGAGGAGCAGGAGGGGGAGGATGCGGACGCGGAGGAGTAGGAGGAGGATGATGAGGCGGAGGAGGAGAAGGAGGACGCGGGGGAGGATGATGATGACGAGGATGAGGACGATGAGGAGGATGAGTAGGAGGAGGAGGATGAGGAGGAGGAGGAGGAGGAAGAGGATGAGGATGAGGAGGAGGATGAGGATGAGGCAGATGCTTTCCCAAGCAGAGCTTGCCTCTGGGGGCCTAGCAGAGTCATAATTAGGTGAGCCCCGCCGCCGATTTCGGTGGCCATGCCCGGGTGCTCGGGTGGGGTGCCCTATAGCCCGATAGCCCACTAGCCCTATAGCCATATAGGCCTATAGTTCTATAGCCCTATAGCTCTATAGCCCTATAGCTCTATAGCAATATAGCCCTATGGCCCAATAGCCCATATAGCCCATAGAGCCCTATAGCCCAATATCCTTATAGCCATATCGCTTCATTACACTATATATAGCCCTATAGCCCTTGTTTTTTTTTCTCCCCCGCAGTCCGCGGGAGCCAACGTCGAAATCGCAACTTTCTACTCCTGGGATTTTGGCCCGCAGTGGCGGGGGTGCTCAAGCCTTTGCCATCCATCGAGATACATTCTACTCCCCCGCCCTCGCGGGGAGTAGAATGTATCTCGATAGATGGCAAAGGCTTGAGCGCCCCCGCCACTGCGGGCCATGCATCCCATGGCCCTGTAGCCCCATAGCCCTACAGCCCTATAGCCACCTACAGCCCTACAGCCCCAGCCCTACAGCCTTACAGCCCTGCAGCCCTATAGCCCAATAGCCAAATAGCCCCATAGCCCTGTAGCCATCATAGCCCTGTAGCCCTACAGCTCTACAGCCCTATAGCCCTATATCTAGCCCTAGCCTTATAGCCCTATAGCCCTATGATAGCCTTGTGGTCGTATAGCCTCATAGCCCAATAGCCCTGTAGCCCAATCGCCCTATAGCCCAATGACCCTATAGTCCTATAACCCAAACAAAACTCTGGTTGGGGGTTGTCTCCGGTGTTATTCATATATTGAATATATGACAACACTCAGGGGTTCAATGAACCCCTGATCAACTGAATTAGTGGCATGTCGGCGCCGGGGGCGCGCTAATTCAGAGCTGACCGGTCAGCTCTGAATTAGTGGCATGTCGGCGCCGGGATAATACAGGAAACACGAAAATGTCGGCGCCGACTTTTGGCAAGATCCTGGACGATGTCGGCGCCGACACCCCACTAATGCAGAGCTGACCGGTCAGCTCTGAATTGGTAGCACGTCGGCGCCGGGGGTCCACTAATTCAGTCGAACTCTTGCCCACGGGGCGCCTTAAGGTTCTCTCTGGAACTACCCCATCCACCCTCCTCCGCCTCGTCCTCGTCCTCCTCCTCGTCCTCCTCCTCCTCCTCCTCCTCCCCCTCCTCTTAACTTAGTCTTCCTCCTCCTCCTTCCCAAAAATCAGACTCTTGCCTCTGCGGACTCTGGTTAGGTGAGCCCCACTGGCCATGCCCAGGTGCTCGGGTGCCTGGGGGTGCCCAGGCAGGTGCCCTATAGCCCTATCTATAACCCGATAGCCCAATAGCCCACTAGCCCAATAGCCTATAATAATTCTATAGCCCTATAGCTCTATAGCAATATAGCCCTATGGCTCAATAGCCCAATAGCCCATATAGCTGTTATAGCCCATAGCCCAATAGCCCAATATCCCTATAGCCATATAGCCCTATAGCCTTATATCACTATAGCCCATATAGCCCTATAGCACTGCAGCCCTAAGCCCTATATCCTCATAGCCCTATAGCCTTAAAGCCCCATAGCCCCATAGCCCTAACACCCTATGGCCCTATAGCCCTACAGCCCTATCGCCCTAGCCCCATGGCCCAATAGCCCTAGCCCTACAGCCCTATAGCCCTTTAGCCCTATAGCCGTACATAGCCTTCTAGCCCAATAGCTCAATAGCCCAGCAACCCGATAGCCCTATAGCCCCATCGCCATATAGCCCAATAGCCCAATAGCCCTATAACCCCAACATAATTCTGGTTTGTCTCCGCACCCATTTTGGCTCTAGTAAACTTTGCATGACCTTGGCACTGGATCTTTTGAGATCATGGCACTGAGTACGATGTCAATGCAATTACAGATGGCAGACATCAAGGATGCTCCTGGTCAAAAAGTGGCCCATAGGAGGACGAGACGTCGCCCTGCAGCTCGGAGCCGAACCCCGCTACGCTCAAGGCCGGCCAACTACGGTTACGATATCGCGTATGCCTCGGACTGCAGCGGCTTACATGGCGGCGCGGCGGCACTCAAGCAGATGGACATTTCTTTTCGGCATGCCTTCGCCTCGGAGAAGAATAGTGTGTACCGTGCCATCACGGCAGCTTCGCATCCAGACGTAGAAATGATCTACAACAACATGCGGGATCGGCCACGAGACCAACTCCAAGACCGCCATGGTCACATCGACATCTATTGCGCAGGCTTCCCGCGCCAGTCTTTCGCGCCAAATGGCAACAAGCATGGTACTTCAGTTGAAGATGGAGCTCTAGTATGGGAAGTTGTGCGTACTATCGACGCTCTTCGCCCCACCGCCTTCGTCTTGGAGAACGTGAAGGCGCTGACGGAGGGCAAGTTCAGGAGGACATTCGACCGCATCATCTCCAGGCTCAAGGCCATCGGTGTCAATGAGTACTTCATCGACTGGAACATTCTCGACTCCTTGGATTTCGGCGTTCCCAGCAAGCGCGACCGCGTGTACATCATCGGGATCCGTGGTGCCTCATTGACCAGCTGGCAATGGCCTGAACCTGTACCTCGCAGACCTCTAGCCGACTTCCTTGACGACAAGATGGGCGACGACACGGCGATGGCCAATCTCAATTTCACGCAGCTCAGGAACCTAGAAGCGGGCTACCAAAAAATCCGAGATCAATGTGGCGAGTTCACGGAGCCTTTCGTGATTGACGTGGGATCGTCGCCGAGATTTGGCACGGGCGTGTCTCGAGACCATGCGCCGACCATCACGAAGAGTCGCGCTGGTAGTTCCGAGTATTGGATTGTGTGCCGCAATAGGCTGATCACTACCAACGAGCTACTTCGTTGCCAAGGCTTCAAGCCCACAGACGGCACGATTCCCGACGGCGTGTCCACGAAGAAGCTCCAGGAGATGATCGGCAACGCCTTCACGGTGACAGTGTTCAAGGCCATCTTCAAGGCCATTTTCAAGGCCACTGGCCGTGCTCCCAACGGGGCACTTCGCGCCTGAGCTCGCGGGACTCAGCCGAGCCAGTGCGGATAGAGTTGGGGGGCCGCGTGGGCCTAGCAAAAAAAATATCCCAGTGCAGCCCTACCTAGGAGTTGGATCCCCTAGGGGGGGAACAAAACATGAGCAGTGACGGTAAAGCTGAGCTAAAGCTCAGCTAAAACTAAGCTAAGGCTAAGCTACAGCTAAGCTAAACCTACGCTGAAGCTAAGCTAAAGCTAAACTAAAGCTAGGCTAAAGCTAAGCTAAATTTAAGCTAACACTAAACTAAAACTAGTCTGAAGCTAAAGCTACAGCTCAAACTAAGATACAGCAAAGTTAAAGCTAATATAACTCTAAGCTACAGCTAAGCTAAAGCTAAGCTATGGCTAAGCTAAGGCTAAGCTAAGGCTAAGCTAAGGCTAAGCTACAGCTAAGCTAAAGCTAAGCTAAAGCTAAGCTAAAGCTAAGCTACAGCTAAGCTACAGCTAAGCTCATATTCAACTAGAGCTAAGTTAAATCTAAGCTACAGCTAAGCTAAAGCTAAAACTAAAGCTAAAGCTCAAGCTAAAGCTAATGCTAAAGCTAATGCTAAAGCTGAGTCTAGGGGGCGCAACTGGGGGAACCGCTCCCAGGGGACTGGGGGAACCGCCCGGGGCGCTTTCCACTGCCCGGCCCCTTTAAGCTAGAGAGTAAGAACCTTTCTAGGCAGAGCCTAGGTAGGGAAATATCATCCTCCTCCTCTTTCTCCTCCTCCTCCTCCTCCTCCTCCTTCTCATTCTCCTCCTCCTCCTCCTCCTCCTAGTCCTTCCCCACCTTGTTTTCTCCTCCTCCTCCTCCTCCTCCTCACCATCATCGTCATCACCACCATCACCATCGCCATCTGCCTCGAATTCACGTCGCCGTCACATTATCATCACCATCACCATCATCATCACCACCACCTCCCTCTCCCCTTCTACGTCGCCCTCCCACTCAGCGGCATCTACGTTGAAAGAGAGAGGCCCGACGGCTCCCCACCCCGACCCACTTACCCCACTTCCCTGTCAGGTCGCCTCGCTCGGACGCGGGGGAAGGCAATCCCCGCCCTTTCTTTCTGCTACTCCCCCACTCCCTCCTCCAGCCTCACCGCTCCTTTCCTCGTCCCCTTCCTCGCACCCTCGACCCGATCGCCACCCGCCCGTAATTAGCCATTTTGGCTGTCTAGTTCTTTCAACCGAAGTCAGACAGACTCCATACGGCATGGCCAAACGCGCTCCGGGAGCTCCAGAATCTGATCCACGGTCGAAGAAGGCCAAGGGCAAGGCAAAACCTCCGGCTCAAGTACAAGGGAACGCTCCAGCCGTCGGGCTCGCCGCGCCGGGGGCCACATGCATCAACGCAGAGTTTCATCACATGCTGAGCCAATGCGAGCAGAAGATCTTGAACCACCAGGTGTTCCATGATGTCTGCAACGGAGATCCCACTGGCGACTGCGGGACCCCCGCCTACGACGAGGGCGAGGCGGGTCGGCGGCTGCAGGCAGGACAGGACTATGTGGCGAGTTGCCCCTTATTCTGGCTCAACCTCCGCTACGAGCTCCAGCCGAACGTTCCGAAGTGCCGCCAACGCATCGAGAACTTGAAAGCCCACTTCTTCGGTAAGCCTGGGCCGATGCCTGGGAACGGGATAACAGTAAGCCACGTCATGGGCGAGGATCTACCCCATAAGCGCAAAGGTCAACTACGAGCTGTGTGTTCTCCAGAACTTCGTGACGCCCTACGCATGGCCATCGCGGAGGACGTGGACACGGGGGACGAAGATAAGCTGAACGCCTGGGCCAAGATTCTCATGTCCATACCTTTTCGCTTCAAGGTCGTTCAGGAGGGGCACTACTTGAGCACGCTCTTCGAGGGCGTGGTGCAGCAGCGCGAGGACATCGGCGTACTGCACGACAACACCAGGATGTCGGCCTTGCTTCGTTCATACGAAATCGTTGACCTCAAGACCCAGCTCGAGGTTACTGAAGGCACTCAGAATAAGCACAAACTCGCGGACTACTACAAGAAGATCAAGTACTCCCCGACGTCCGAGGCCGTGTCGATAACTTTCGTTGAGGCGACTCTCACGTTGCACAACAACGTGCTGTGCGTCCCAGAGGTGAGAGATGTCTGTTTCAAGTTCGACGGCATCGGCATCAAGAACCCCATGGACAGCGTGCACAAATACCGCCAGATCGCAATGGGCTGCGACAACAAGAAGGACCTCATGGTCTGGAGCTTCAACATGACGTGGGACTGGTGGAACCGCACCGATGGGAACGACTCGATATCAATCCGTAGCTTACGAGGGGACGCCGCCGGCTGGGGCGGGGTGTCGCTGGTGAAGTTGTTCATCAATAAGCTGACGCTTGGCAACGCGCTCTGGAAGAAGATGGACGAGTTCAATTGGGACGTCAACGTGAAGGAGAGCATGAAAGATCTGACGAAGGACGTAGAGAGCTGCCGCTTGAAGCTAGGGTACCACGACGACCCCGACAAGGTTCCAGTCAAAGATTTAGCGGATCGGAGTTTGTGGCCAGAGAGCGCCGACAAGTTTTTGCTGCTGTTCGAGGTGCTCGTCTATGGCTACAGCTTGGACGTCATCATGATCAAGGCCATGCAGCAGAAGAAGGGCGTTGACGAGTTCTTGGAATTCCCCGAGGCTCCATGAGGAACGACGCAGGCGTAGATAGTTCCCTACCTAGGCTCTGCCTAGGATGGTTCTTACTCTGTAGCTTAGCTTTAGCTTAGCTTTAGCTTAGCTGTAGCTTAGCTGTAGCTGAGCTTTAGCTTAGCTGTAGCTGAGCTTTAGCTTAGCTGTAGCTTAGCTTTAGCTTAGCTTTATGTTAGCTTTAGCTTAGCTCTAGCTTAGCGTTAGCTTAGCTTTAGCTTGGCATTAGCTTAGCTTTAGCGCAGCTTGAGCTTAGCTTTAGCTTAGCGTTAGCTTAGCGTAGCTTAGCTTAGCTTAGCTTTAGCTTAGCGTTAGCCTTAGCTTCAACTTAGTTTTAGTTTAGCTGTATCTTAGCTGTGACTTAGCTTTAGCCTAGCTTTAGCTTAGCGTCACCTTAGATTTAGCTTAGCGTTATCTGAGTGTTAGCTTAGCTATATCTTATAATTATCTTAGCTTTAGCTTAGCTTCAGCTTAGCTTCAGCTTAGCTTCAGCTTAGCTTAGCTTGAGCTTAGCTTTAGCTTAGCTTCAGCTTAGCTTTAGCTTAGCTTTAGCTTATGGCTAGCTTAGCTTTGTCTTAGCTTTAGCTTAAGTCTACCTTAGATTTCGATTTAACTTAGCTTAGCTTTAGCTTAGCTTTACTGTTCCTACTAATGCTGCTTTCCTGGGGGCTCCAACTCCTAGGTAGGGTCGCACTGGGATAATTTGTTTTATCACCCTTCAGGTTTACGCCCCCCCCCACCCCCCCCCCTCCCCCCCCCCCCCCCTCCCCCCTTCTCTCTCTTCTCCCCCCCCCCCCCCCCTTCTTCTTCTTTTTCCCCCCTCCCCCCCACCCCCCCCCCCCCCCCCCCCCCCCCCCGACCCCCCCCCCCCCCCCCCCCCCCTCCTCTCCCCCCTTCTTCCCCCCCCCCCCCCTTTTTTTTCCCCCCCCCCTCCTCCCCCCCCCCTCTCTTTTTTCCCCTCCTCCCCCCCCCCCCCCTCCCTCCCCTCTTTTCTCCCCCCCCCCCCCCCCCCCCCCCCCCCTATTCCCCCCCTCCACCACTCCCCCCACTCCCAACACGCCCCCAAACCCCCCCCCCCACCCCCCCCACCCCCCCCCACTCCCCCCCCCCCCCCCCCCCCCCCCCCCTCACATTTAAGCTTGTAACACTGCTTTCATCCCCCTCTATCCCCCTGTCTGCGTCTTTCCACCCCCGCCCCAAGGTTTCGAGCTACCTGCGGGCCGTCCAGGCCGCGTGCGCCAGGGGGACCAGGAAGACGTCAGATGCCATGAGCGACGGGGAGGGCGAGGTCGGAGCTTCAGCACCCAGCGCCGTCGCTGCAACTGCGCTCGCCGAGAACCAGTCGGTAGTTCAGAAGATCCTCTCTTCAGCAAGCACGGACCCTTCCAATGTGACCGATGACGTGCTGCAAGAGGCCAAGAACTACTCCAAGAGCGCGGACCGCGACGTGAAGAGCGTTGTGAAGCTCGTGTCGGCCGCCACGTCCATGGATGAGCTGAAGGCGGCAATCCAGAAGACGTCGGCTTGCAAGGTGGTTGGCTCGAACAAGAAGCACGTCGCCATCGTCCTCGATGCGAAGACTCTGTGCGAAGCTGGCTCGCAGGCAAAGTGGCGCTCGCCTCCGACAAGGCCAGTTCAGCTATCAAAGCTCCTCGGCGCTGTCCTCGCCGCGCGGGGCCACGACGGCCAGCTCCACGAGAACGACGTCCTCATCGGGATCGATGGCGACAAGAACGACTTCGAGGAGAAGGTGGTCAAGGCTTTGGCGCCGCTAAAGCTCGACAACACGAAGCTACTCACCATCTACACGCAAGACTCGGTAGAGAAACGCTTGGATCGCCCGGGGGGCTCCAACACGCTCACGCTCACGGAGACGGTCCACCTGATGACCACCACGAAGTTCCAGTACAAGGTGCAGCCTCGCAAACTCCTGACGGGCCAGACTACGCGAGCAAACGCCCTCGGGCCCCTGGCGCACGCCAACCTCGCGGACAAGACCGTCACCTGGACGATCACGTGGGCAGAGAAGAAAGAGTTGCTAAGCGTGGACAACATGCCCTTGCCGGGGGGCAGGTGCGAGGGGTCAGATGCGGCATCAGCAGCGTCTGAGAAGACGGAAAAGGTGAAGCCGACTGATTTGGTTCCTGCTTTCTATCACGAGTCGCCCCCGTCGCTCTCGGTGGAGCTGGCGCACCTCGTGCAGGCCGTTGCCATAATAGACTTGACTCCTGGATCCGGCCATTGGGCCATGCATGCCGTTCGGCATCGCATTCCTTATTGCGGGGTGTGTTTCACGGAGAAACACGTGGCGACGTTGTACGAGAAGTTGATCAGCCGCTCGCTCGACGCGAAGCTTGACGCCAACGACAAGGACATGTACGACGCCTCCCTCGCGAGCATCGTGACGAAACACACCAAGGAGGGCAACGCGCCGAAGAAGATTTCGGAGACCACGGACCTCCCGAACACGCCAGCGACCAAGCCGACTCCGACGCCGAAGCCACCCGGCGGCGGCGCCAGCAGGGATGCGCTCTTGCAGAAGATCGCTGCCCTGAAGGAGCAGCAGCAGGCGCAGCCCGCTGATGCTGACGTGGATGAGTGAGTGAACGCCCATCAGCGGGCTGCTCTGAGCTACTGTGGCACGCGCGGTGCGGCCGCCGTGGAGACGGCGGCGGAGACCAGTCTTTCGAGTGAAGCCAGGCTGGCATCGGAGGCCAGCCGCCAGACAAAATAGTAGGTAACAAATATCATCGTCATCATCATCATCATCACCATCATCATCATCATCATCATCATGATCATCATCATCATCATCATCAGCATCATCATCACCACCATCACCATCACCATCACCATCACCATCACCATCACCATCACCATCATCATCATCATCATCATCACCCGTCCTCCTCCTCCTCCTCCTCATCCTCCATCACCTTCCTCGGCAGCCTCGTCGTCGCCTTCCTCGTCCTCCTCCTCTGGCTTCTCCTCACCAATTTCCTCATCGTCCTCCTCATCCTCCTCATCACCCTCCTCATCACCCTCGTCCTCGCCTTTCTCATCGTTCTCTTCTGGCTTCTCATCATCTTCCTCCTCATCGTCCTCCTCTTCATCCTCCCCATCATCCTCATCATCCTCCTCAGCACCCTCCTCATCATCCTACTTATCGTCCTCGTCCTCTCCTCCGCGGATTGCCATTTAGGCACGTACTCCTAAGCGGGGGCCAGCCTAGGGGGGCCAGGCTTCGGTCGCTGATGGCGCAAGTCGAGCCACCGCCCGCTAATCAGCAGCTGGAGGTTGATGATGCTACAACGAATGTCGCAGATACGTTGGCTACGGAACGCGTTTGGGGGCGCCCTGGGGGGCGGGGTGGGGGGGCGGGGGATGGGAATGGAGGAGCGGGCATATATGATATTTGGCCAGCCACAGGCCGCGAGACCCAGGATTATTGGATTCTTTAGCCCACGTATCTGCGATCAGAAGCGCACGAGCATCGAGATCGTCGACTTAACGGGCGGCGACCTCGTCGAGTACCCAGAACCGACTGAGCTGAATACATCAGCGAAGAAGACCCGCCGTGAGCCCCGTCTAGCGCCTACGTGCACGTGGCTTCCGAAGCTTAGGGACCGGCTAAGGAATGCCCGTTCCTCGCAGAGTTTCAACATTTAAGCACTAGCTCGGATTGCCCACCGCAGCGTCTCCCCAACGTGAAAAGTCAACGGTGAACAATATAGACGGATGGTGAGACATTATGAGTAGGACGATTGTCGTCACACATTGGGGAGAGTGTTGTGGGCGATCCGGCGCCATCATGGGGCGATGGTGCGTGCGAGATGCCAGCCAACGTGGGCCGTTGGAACAAAAAACAAGACCACTATGCCTCCAAGAAGACCGCCCGAGGATTGCCCAATATGCCTCCAAGACGGCCCCAAGACGGCCCCAGAACGCCACAGGACAGCCCCATAGTAGGCTTCCAAGACGGGCCACGAGGCTCCCAATATGGCTCCAAGAGGGGGGGGGGCACTCCAACGCATATAAGCTACTCATACCTACTGACCCTAATACTGGCCCTAAACCTTAACCCCATCCCCCAAACCCTAACCCTAAGGCCCCGACCCTAGGACCCCCGACCCTAGGACCCTGCCCCGAACCCCGATATCCTAAACCTAAGACCCCAACCTGCTGGCCCGAAGGACCTAGTTGATAATAGCCCGATTTGGGCTCGAGCCTACATCTTCAAGACTACGGTTTTCATCTTCGCAATCTGTGCTAGAATATGCCCGTCGATGATGAGCTGCACGCTGAAGTGCACGTGGAGGCATACCCGAAGATCAATATTCGACTTTCTGAATTACCGACTGGATTTCACAGGCAAACAATCATCCATGTGCCGATTTTAGTAGACATCAGGAGCACAGCTGCGGACGGCGCCGAACACCATGAGTTTATGTCTCAGCTTGCCGACGGATCTGATGGCGGCCCGCCAGCAAAATCACAGAAAATTGAAGCTGTTGACTCATCTCCAGAGCCAGAGCCAGCAGCCGCATCCGAGTTGGAGAAGCAACCATCCGAGATGGAGAAAACGCAGCGGGAGCAAGAACCCCCATTACCGACACTGGAAGAAGGCTCGTCCGTGCAGTTCTCAGTCAGAGTTTCTGGTGCAAGGAGTTCTTCAGACGCGGCTGGTTCAGAGGCCCCTCCAAATGACCCTTTTCACGGGCTCGGTATTATGCCAGATGATTTGGTGGAGATGCCATGCGATTCGAATCCGCAGGGCAGGTTTTGAATACTGTTGAAGCAACGCCCAGAGTAGATGGCCACAGCCTGTGCCGGCACGCATTTGGCGTGCCTCGTGTCTCGGCACGCATTTGGCGTGTCGTCGTGGCGGGACCTAACGGACGCAAAGATTTGCAGTGGCGGTGTCGTTCACGGCGTCTGGAAACCCTGGGGCCCTCGGGGAACGAGCCCACGGCGCGAAATCATACAAGCAGTAGGGGGAGGGGGTCCTCCTCCTCCTCCTCCTCCTACTCCTCCTCCTTCCTCCTCCTCCTCCTTCCTCCTCCTCCTCCTCCTCCTTCGGGGTCGAGGGAGGGAGCGAGCGAGCGAACGAGAGACACTCCGCCCCCCTCAACCTCTCCGTCCTTCCCGCTGGCCGGCCAGCCGGCCCGCGCGCCGCCCTGCAGGAGGATGAGGAGGAGGATGCGGGCCGCTCAACGGCCTGAGGCGGCGGGTCCGCTCATTTCTGGGCCCCCCCTGGCTGGAACAAAGATGGCCCAAGACGGTCTCCAAGATGGCCCAAGAGGATGCCCAAAATGCCTCCAATATGGCCCAATATGGCCCCATATGCGTCCACGCCCGCCGAAGAAGCCTCCAGGAGGGCCCAAGACGGCTTAATTATCCCAGAGCGACCCTACCTAGGAGTTGGAGCCCCGAGGAGATCAATATTAGTAGTAACGGTAAACGCCATCCTCCTCCTTCTCCTCATCGTTGCAGTTGTAGCAGTAGCGGTAGTAGTAGTAGTAGTAGTAGTAGTAGTAGTAGTAGTAGTAGTAGTAGTAGTAGTAGTAGTAGTAGTAGTGGTAGTGGTAGTGGTAGTGGTTGTAGTAGTAGTAGTAGTAGTAGTAGTAGTAGTAGTAGTAGTAGTAGTAGTAGTAGTAGTAGTGCAGCTTAACACATACATCTACATCTAGCCCTACATCCACATCTACACATACAGATACATCTACATGTACACATGCATCTACATCTACATCTACATCTACATCTACATCTACATTTACATCTACAACTACACTCACATCTACATCTATATCTACATCTACACCTACATGTACATCTACATCTACACCTACATCCACAGCTACACCTGCACCTACACTTAAATCTACATCTACACTTTCGCATTGGTGTTGCTTGTGCTTTGCGTTGCCTTTGCCATTGTTATTGCCTTTGCTTTGGCCTTTGTCGTTGGTTGTGTTTTGCTGTTGTTTTTGCTATGATATGCTGCGCTATGCTATGCTATGCTATGTTATGCTGCGCTATGCTGCGCTATGCTATGCTAGGGTGTGCTAGGCTGCGCTATGTCACGCTAGGATATGATATGCCATGCTATGCTGCGCTATGTTATGATATGCTATGCTATGCTATGCTGCGCTATGACTTGCTATGCTATGCTATACCGCGCTCCGTCATGCTAGGCTATGATATGCTATGCTATGTTATGCTAGGCCAGGCGATACTATGCTATGACATACTGCCCTATGATATGCTATGTTATGCTGCGCTATGCTATGCTATGATGCGCTGTGCTATGCGATGCTGCGCTATGCTATGTTATGACATGATATGCTATGGTATGACATGTTGTGCCGCGCTATGATGTGCAAGGCTCCACCCTCCAAAAAAAACACCCCCCCCCCCCTTCGCAAATCAAACTAGCTCCACCATACCCCCCTCCCACCCCCCTCGCCACCTCGCCTCGTATTGCACTTAAACACATACTATTCGCACGCCCCCCCCCCCCCCCCCCACATACTTTCCCTCAAATCCAATCACATATACCCATGCAGCTCCCTCACCTACATCCTCAGCTTCACCCCAAAAATGCGCCTAAACTATGCTAGGTTAAGCTAAGCTGGGGTGAGCTAGGCTAGGCTAAGCTAGGCTAAGCGAAGCGAAGCTCAGCTAAACTGGGCTAGGCGAGGCTAGGCTAAGCTCAGCTAGTGTTTAAGCTTAGTTCAGCTAAGCTAGCTTATATGGGATAAGCAACGCTAGGCTAAGTGGACGTAGCTGGTGGAACCGCGGGGCGGATCCTGGGGGAACCGCCCAGGGCGGGGATCACTGCCCGGCCCCGGTCAGACAGAGAGTAAGAACCCTCTGGGCAGAGCCTGGGTATGGATAAACACTATGTATGGTTATGAAACGGGAGAAAAACCCAATCACATTTTTGCTATAGGGCTATGGGGCTATAGGGCTATAAACAAATAAAGCAAATCAGCTCGGACGTAGAGATGAAAATGGGGTGCACGAACATGCACGCCGCCACCTGGCGGGCGCACGGGGGGGGGCGAGAGGAACAATGGCGAGACATATGGCAGGAGCGGGACGGGGCCCAGAGCGAATCGGGGAGAGATGTGGTGAACTCTGACATGTGAGAGAAGAAAGTGACGGGGAAATGGTGGAATGTGGGAGGAATGATATCGTCGATGGAAGATGGACGGGGGGGGGGGGAATGGGCAATGATGGGTGCGCCCCTGGTATTTATCATGTTTATATATATATATATACATGTGTAAGCATGTGTGTATACATCTGTGTATATACACAGATGCACACACACGCTTACATATGTATAAACGTATATATGTATGTGGCTGGATGTACACACGCACATGTACATACTCGTATGTGCATCTGAAATTCTGAGATACATATAATGGGTATACGCGACGGCATTGTATCTATATATGATAGATATAGTGCATATCATACCTAGATCAGACCAAATATATGTTCCCAAATACATAGATTGGGCGATATATATATAATCATATATAAATACATATATATATATATATACACATATATACACATATATATATA